ATTTACAGAGTTGTTAATCCTTTCCCTGCCAATAAGTCAATTGACCTGATGAGGATTGTTGTGCTAGATCACCTGTAATTCAATACTATAATGATTAAAGACAGGAGTCTGCCAATTTATTTATACATTGGAACAAGACACTAATATTCAAACTAAATTTTCATTAAATAACTTATATTTTGTGCACAGAAATTTCTTTCGTGGTAATTACCCAGAGTTCTTCAACACCTTCTTTTCTGGTTGACAGTATAAGGTGGTGACCAGTGATGCAAAGTGTGCCATCAACTGGTTTTTGGAATGGCCCATGCATCACTACCCCATCAAGCTTAGGAATTAGGATTAGTTCAACAAACTCCATAGCTGGCTTCAATCCAAACCAATCTGGAGATTTGGTTCCTGTAAATATACAAACATATCAAAATGATTCAATGAAGGTGCCAAGCGAGAACAAGCAGAACTGGGGGGGAGTATGTGGATATGTGCTCAGTAGTTCAGGCTTTTTTTTAACTTCAGTTTGCAGACATATGTACTGTCCACAGACCAGGAGAAAAGCCCTGCGGGGGAAAGTCGTTTCAGGGGCGGTGCAGGGGGGATGTTTACTATCAAGTGGACTAGAGGGTTGCTATTGGTGGGAAGTGTGACACGTCAGAGTTTTACACTACTACACACACACACTGAAAACATCAAGCAGTTAAGAGTAGCGTATAGTGAGTGCACCTCTAATGTGTTCTATGAGTGTTGTGATAATATTATAGATTAAATCACTGTGCCACTGTGAGGCAATCTTAAAGCTATACACATCAGAACACATGAAAGCCCGTTGTCTGTTGTTCATTCAGTGGTTGTGGAACGAATGCTTTTAGGATGGGTCGTTACTCACCGCGAAATCTTGCACATGCGCGTATATCGCATTCCTAGCAGGGCTTTTCTCCTGGTCTGTGTACTGTACAAAGCACATAAATACATCAATTTAAACCTGATAAATGATAGGAAGGACATAGATATCTAGGTCTGTATTTCTAAGCTTCATAAATCAATAGTCACTGTAATATGCACTCTCTTAAATATAAGTACATTACATCAGTCCAGAATTCTGATATTGCCAGAATAAGATTATTTGCATGTTTTGATTTTTGTTGAAAAGTTGTTACATGATAAATTAATATTATTATATTAACTGAAACAGAAGGAGTTTTCTGAAAACTGTAACTTATATTCTCTGCCTTATGTGGCTACAGTTTATAAGACAAAACTACAAAGATATGAAGAAAAATTGTACTTCTGCATGACTTAAGAATAATGTGAACATTTTTCAGCAAGACTACATCCCATTAAATTTCGAAGAATTTATTGGCTACCAGGGCGTGATGCTGGCCACAAACCCCATCTACTGCTGAGGTCAAGAATGAGTAGGAGCAATACCATCTTCTCCCCCCAAGCACCTACATGGCATATAGTGGAACAGCTTTACTTTACTTTTATTAGCTACATGAATATAAGCAATTCCTTAGACTGATTACTGGATTGATCAATGATGCTTTATCAAATGTATATGTTATATGCCACCAAGTTGTAGAATTACTCTGAATGATAAATTGCAAAAGATGCAGACACAACCCATTGCAGCCTGTTAAGATAACATACCAATACTTGCCTAGAGGGACTGAGAAAAATCACCAGAAACCTCAGGATAATCAGTGTCGGGCAAAATACTGATGTAAACAAGAAGCAAGAGTGATAAAATCCCAACTGCAACCTTCAGTCATTGTCACTTTGCTTGCTTTAAATATAAAGGTTAATTTAATTCTATTCATCTTCAAATTTAACAGCACAAACTCCTTGCAATTTCATGTCATTTTCACAGTGCAGTTTTGCAGAACTGTTACTGTTCTTACAAACTGTAAATATGCATTCTGATACATGGATCACTTATCAAAAGTGTATTTGGTTTCATTACGCTTGAATGACTGCACTGTCCTATCATCTGATTTTCAGGGCCAAAGTTTTTCTGTGTGACTGATGGATAAAGTCAAAACTTTGTTCTGGAATATTATTTTTTACAAAACATTTCATTTTTACTTGGTTTTATTACTGAAATGAATTGTATGATGTGTTCCACTACTACAGTTTTTTAGCTTCATAATGGGATATGAAGGGCAAAAGTAATTATTTGTTTCTGGGAATTTAAGTGAGATTCTGGAATATAATTCATAGAAAATGTACAGACTGCAGCGTAACCAATAGCATTTAAAATCAGATTTTAAATATGTCTCTCCTCCTTGCAAACTTTTATCTGAAAAGACTGTATTATTTATAACACAACTTGACTGACCAGCTAAATTACAGAAGGTAAAGTTTTTCAGTCATGTTTTTTACGCAACTCGCATACCCCTGGCTGAGAAACAATGTCATATGTGACATGCTACATTACTGTGAGTAGAAACATCCCTTGATCTACATGTATTTAGAGTTGCCCTTGGAAATTCACATATGTTTATAATTTTCTTTCCACCTGCTGCAACCTATGTAAGTAAATGTAATGTTTCTAGCAAGAAACTTATGCTGTCAACATACAGTCACACAGTATGATGATCAAATGGATAGAATTATTGGCCTACAAAATTTTTAGGTCTTTGTACTTATTAAGACTTCATCTGTCTTCGCAATGACCTATGAATACACAGCCCCTAAGAAAGACTCACATAAGTATCTTATTCTTCTTCTTTAGCGTTTGTCCCTTATGGTTGAGTATATTGTCAGAATAAAAGGGAAACAAATCTTACAGTAAAAAAGGGCATTAATGAAATATGTGAAACAGGCAAATCAAATATACTGCTCTTCTTTGTTCTTTTATTTAGCTGTAAAATGAGCATTTTACTTCAAAGATCTGGTAAGTCACATAGAATAAAAACCTTTAAATCAGTGGGGGCAGCAATAACATTTAGTCTAATATCAATGAAAATAAAATACGTGAAACTGTATCTTATGCTGAGAAGTTTTGTTAGATTCCTGGTTTCATGTTTAGCAGTAAACAGTGGGTCTGTGAATTTTCACTGCAATTTACTTATGTTTCCATGCATTCTCTGCACTCGAAACATCAAAAGAACACCAAGAGCAAGGACATGTATACCCACATTTTATCTCAAAAGTCATGTGGGGGATTTCAGTGAAATCTGGTATTGTGGGATGCACTAACAGTTTTTGGACTTGCTCAATTTTAGTTCTTACCAGCAGGTTACAACATAATCTCAGCTTCACATAAAGGTCAACTCATATTTTATCATATTTCCTTAAAAAACTCATTGTAAAAAGGATTGGTACATGACATACATTGCATTATGATCTATAACCTTAATATGAAACAGATTCTATGATTATTATTCAATGACATATAAGAAAAAGATTCCACGTCTATGATGTGTTTTTTTGTTTTAAAACAATGGGTTTCTATCAGAAATAAAATATTTATATACAAATAAATGAACGTCAAGGAGAATAAGGAATTCAAAAGTGCAAAGAATATATTTAAGAAATGAGATTTTAGGTTCTCACAGCACCACTGAAGATGTCTGATGGAGACTGTAAGCACATATAAAACATTGGTCAATTTGTGTGAGACTACACAGCACATCATTCCAGGAGGTAGTCATCTTCATATTTAGAAAATAATTGTACTCTAAACCTTGGAATAAAACCTGTGTCTAAGCACACTTGCTCTTTCACATACCGAATCCTGGCATAGCTAGACATAACATTACCACAAAACCCATACAGGTACTTACATCATTCTGTCTCTGTAATATTCATATCAAGGCAATGAATGACACATCACTCGTTTGTAAAATGGCCCTACTACGCATTGTGGTAAGCAACACCATACATAACTTTGATGTTTCTTTGATTTTAATTCTTATTAAAACTATAAACTTTAGCAGTATATTTTCATCAAATTTCTATTCAAAAAGGTTCTGGGTCTGCAGAAAATCATCACTGGTAATAATGTCTTATTTAGAATAGGTTACCTCCTAATATTTAAAATAAGTCATTCCTTTTTAAGATAAAAAATTATTACCAGGATTGTGCATTCTTATGTGAGTAGAGTAGAGTTTATTTACATTCCATAGATCCTTCTTAGGACTAAACCAAAGGATGTAGAACATGTCATGTGATTAAAGTGAATTATAAACATACTATATGTATGTAAATAATATGGAAAAAAACATTTTGGCAATATTACCACAAATCAGACCATGTGAGAGCAGTATAACGAAACAACCAACAGAAATAAAACCAACAAACACACCAAAAGAAGAATTACACAGATATTGTGTTCATAACTGGCTATACATAGCATAATTCTTTTGAGGAAATATAGGCATTTCTTCACTCTAATCTAAACTCACTGCAGAAAAGTTCAGTTATTAACAAAATATTTAAGGTAAGTGGATGTGCAAGGTGTCAGTTTGATGGCACTGCTTATTATAAGAGGAATTAAAGGTTATGTGTAAAATATTTTAATATATATGTAACAATACCAATAATAATGCAAGTATTGTATATTGTCATAAGATGCAATAATGACTCATTTGCAAAGCCTTACAGCAATTTTATACAATATAAAATATATCAGCAAATGGATGCTGTTTATTGTAGAAAGTTAAAATTTTCACAACTGTAACCTTACTTATATTTAACTGTGATGTTTATTTGCACTGCGTAATGTCAACTTTTTATATTGTTGTCCCTGAAAGTGCACCCCTAATTGCCCATCCTACATTTTCACAGCACACTTTTCAGAAAATATTCTGTCCAATAGAGGCGCTGCTAGAATCGAGAGCGTCAACCCTGTTTTCGGGAGCTACGGGGGGGAAGAGGGACCTGGGGAGCATGTCTGTGTGCTTGACTCAGTACGGAGAGCTTGCCGCTAGTTGAGAGAAAGAGGGTCAGAGAGAGGAGAAGTAACATCATACTGTGCAATGCGAAGTTGGATAACAGCTTGGACTCAACCTTTGTTCTGTAAGTACTATAGATATTACAAAACTAGGTATGAAAATATTGCAATTATTGAAAGTGGTATCTTGCTGTAGCTATGAAACCTGAGTATGTGTGTGTGAAATTCAATACGAAACCGTGGGAAATACGAAGAGATTGTATTGTCAGTGCGGTGAAAGAATGAGGGGTACCTGCTGAATGTAGACAGTATCTCCAGCACCGTTTCTTTTTAGTTTTTTTCATAATTTAAGCGCTGCAGGCAAAACCGCGCACAATTAAAATTTACATTAATGCAATGTAAAGCCTTGGCATAGTCTCTAGCGTAATTATTTTTGTTTTTAAACATCTAAAAATGATTTTGCACCGTGTGCTGTTTGTACAAAGGTAGGTCACATACAATCCATACTTTCATGCAGAGCAGGCAGATGTAGTTTAAAAGTGGCTCAAATAATAAGCGTGTCTTTAATACGGATGCTATGCATCTGGCACATTTGCGCCGGAAAACTTTAATGTATGACATGTTAGCATGCACATTTTTACATTAATATAGGTTAGCAGTAGAAAGTGTTTGGTCCCAAACACACACACCAACATAACTATAATGGAAAATATACAATATTTATATGAAGAAGGTATATTAAAATAAAATTCCTTTTAGATTCGCTTTTATAATTTTGTATCCAAGTTGAGACATTTTGTGTTGACTTATTGTTGATTCTCTCTGTTCACATTCAAAAATGTTACCTTGCACAGAAACACTACAGGTAAACTAGGTAGGGCATTCAGAAGGGCTTCCAAATTATTTGGATATACTGTTTTCTTTTGTTTTGTTGTAGAAATTATAAATTACCATTTCTTATACCTAAGTTAACCATTTCTGTAATTTAGGAACTATTATCAGTGTTTTAATGCCTTAATTTTTTTAGTGCTTTTGGCTTATATAATATTTTCTTATGCATTTATTATCTACCTGAATTATACAGCTAGTAATAACACTTCTTATTTGTAGGCAGTTTGGGGAGCACTTTTAAAAATATAAATTGTGCTTTATGGGTTATATTTTATGTGCAGCCAGTGGCATTCTTTAGCATATGTGACTTTTAACAAATAGTTTAAGTGATATGAGATTATTCTTTTTCATAGAAGGCTTTTGTTAATGCTACAAGATTCATGTTGTGACAGTGATTTAAAAATATTTTGGTAATCATATTGTGTTTTTTTCATACTTAAATCATGATGTAACAGGTTTAAAAATGAATACACAATTTGCAGCTTTACCTGTAAGCTGAGGAGACCAAGTTTTCGGACATATCCTGTAGAAGTTCATGTAGGTTTCTTCATTTATAAATGATGACATTCGTTGTAACAGTCTTGTAATGTAATTTGATACTTTTTTCATGTTTTAGCCAATAAACTACTTTCCTGCTATATTGGGGACTACCTGTGATTCATTGTGGTGCTGTATTGCAGTTGATGTTATGTGGGAAGTGTATGGTACTATAGCTAAGATTACTGACTGTTAATGTAAGACACTTACATCTTATGTACTGTCCTGCATGGCAAGTTGAAGGTTAATATGTGGCTGCTACATCCTGGGTTAAAATCCTAGCATGAATATGAATGTGCATTTATAAATTTACTTTTATAAAATCTGGATACAGGCTGTTATGTTAAAAATGGTAAGAAATTAAACCTTGAAGCAAATGCAGCCAACGGTAGTAATTGTTAAAATGATAAAAGTTTAAGAGTAGTCATTTTGATCATTATACTATTTGTCAAAAACAAATGTGTACTGTTGTTGGTGTGGCCATAATGAAAATAGTAGATCTAATAGATACTGAACTTTGTGTCCTGCATTATTGACAGGAAGTTGATCTAAACTGGTTTCCTAGCAAAATACAAAAATAATTTGCATTTGTTATTTGTTTTAAAGCAGGGCTGAATGCAGTGAATTTATAATTTATATGTCTATTGCCAGTCAAACTAGATGTGGGGAAAGTGTCTTAAAATAGCCTGTGATTATTGCCATGTGAGTTTGTAGTTGATAGTTATCTTGTTGAAAGTCATTCCTCCAACTGTTGCATTTGAGTTGTGGCCCTCTGAATGAAGCCTATGCATGAAACAGGAATACAACAAGGGCAGTTGAGTAGGCCTGTAATTTCCCTTTGCTTTTTTAATTCAGATAAGTTATTTAGTTATTCACTTATTTAAGAATGAAGAACATTATTTTGGTTTATCTGATTTGATTTGTTTCATTTTGCATATTGCACCTATTTGGCCACTTATGAGTATTACAAATCATTATACGTTAATCTTATTCTTCTGTGCCCACATCATAAATGTTCTCTTCTTTCAGCCAATATTTTAATTATCAATTGTTTGCTTCATTTTTCAATAAAGTGTTCAAGTATCACACAGAAGTTTATTTCTACTATCTTACTTTCTGTTAGAACATACATGTTAATGTCTATGACTTAATCTAGATTTACAACTTGCAAGTAATTGAAATGAAACATAAGGGAATGTACTATGTGATTGTGTTTGCTAATGGAACTCCATATTTTTACAACTTAAGAAACCAGTTCTAGACCCAAATTAAATTTATTTTTGTGGTAGGTGGGCCATTGTTGCCACATTTACACATATTGCATTTGACTTTTATGTTTATCCTTCAGAGTTTTATAAAAGAAATTAGAACAATTTTATATATCACATTTTTTTTTGGAAGTGGTTAATAAGGTTACATATCTGCATTACACATTATACAAAACAGTGTTATTGATATACATTTATATATGTGTTGTTTGTCTCCTTAAAATACAGCCTTATGAATGAAGGTCTGGTGAAGTGATCATCAACTGTAACATAGGACACATTGAATGAGATTCTTTGCTTACAGGAATGTAATGTGATGCTATTGCATTAATTGAACTGCTGACTACTACTCTAAATGTGCCTGTCAGGAGGGGAAATGGGGAGGGTGATGAGGAAGCACTTAACGCAACAGTGTTTCTGAGCAAGGGAACCAGGCCATTTACATGTTGAATAGTAATGAAAGATTTTTTTAATCATGTCACTTGGTAAATGAACTATACTAATTCTAAGTTTTAATACTGTTTGTTTTCTTTATACTTTTAATTTCAGTATATTGTGTTCCATACTGATTTGAGTTCTTTACATCTTTAGAAAAGTGATTATATGGCTGCAAGGCAGATAGTAAGAACAGCAAAGACACATATTGAGTGGTATAGAAGCTTATGTGTATGTACTTACATGTGTTGTTCTTGAGCACAAGTGAACTGTTGTGAAAAAGATTCAAGCAACAATGTGGTGTTTGCTATGTGTTTGTTGTTTACATTATGAGGTCTGTGTGTTAAAAACAGTCCTTTTGTAGAGGGCTAGGTACTGTAGTCTTGCATGTTGATTACTGAGTAAATTGTTCTTATGCAGTGGATTCTGTTTGATCCATGCTATACTGACCAGTCATGAGCCTCTGTACATTTCAGATTTTTGCAGAGCTATAGAATTGATGTATTCATGAGTTGTTATGGTTCATGACAATTGAATTGTAAGCTACAAGGAATTTATTAATAATGTTTACAGTTTTCAGACTATATACCACCATTTAAGATATTGTGACATTAGATTATTTTGTGTGAAGTTATGCTAATTTTTGTGAAATTTAATTTAAAGGTTTAAAGTTGCCTCCCAACTGAAGCAGATGAGATAGAGAGGTGTCCTACAGATGTACAGTTTAAATGTGTGCACTGTTTTAAATGGGGCTGGATGATGTAACTTGTCTTTTTAGATCATGACATTACCTCTTGGCTTGAAACCTTTAAAGTACTTATACATTTGTCAAAGGTAGTGCCAAGGAATGTTACTGTCTCTTTCTTCTTTATTTTATATTATTGACGTAAATACGTCTATACGGAAGGGTCATTCATCAAAAAAGTGAAAGGAAAACGTGTAAGACCCACATCAACAATGTGTAAATATGGACTGACAACAATGGTCAGCTTATGTGCATTGTTATGTTTCCTAAGGAACGTCATCTGTTTACTCGGCATTGTTGTGTTACATTACTGCCATCAACAATCCGCTTTCGTTATTGCGGAAAGAGCTGAGCTGTGAATCAGTTGTAGAAGAAGTGAGTTGTAGACTAGATAATTTTGTGCTGGTAAAAACGTTTTAGAATATCACAAGTACTTATCTTATATAAGAATTATTACATTACATTTCATTACATTACAGAGATGTATTTACGTCAGATTCTCCGGAACCGTGGTTCCACAGTCAACTTTTTTTCACATTAGCACAGTGCTGCATGTATTCATATGAGTTTTTTTCCATTCCTACTTTCCACAAAAGCTGAGCTTCTTAAAAGGAAAATGTTGGTAAGATATGGAATAGAAACGTTTTATTTTATGATTATAAATGAAATGTTGATATTATAATATCAGAAAATTATATTAAATTTGAGGTTTGCATGTTAGCTGAAGATGCTGATTGTGGTCTTCTAGGTGGTTATGAACATTTTAGAGGAATGTTCTCCACGTGTTCAAGGTTGAAGATGGAGGCAACTTGTTCCTCTGAAATCTTGGTGACCACCTACATGGCTTAAGAACTCTGATGACCAAAACTGATGCAAGTAAATTATGTTAATGAGGAAGTGACGAATAATTATTAGAATATGGATCCACAGAGAGGATGAATTAATGTCATAAGATTATCATTAATTATTATTTGTATTTTAAAATAGTTTATACTGGTGGTGGGTTGTTGCTTTGATGGGGTCATAAGGGACATATTATTTTTCAACTTCATTTACAAATAACGTAAGGTGAACAAATGTTTAATTACTGAAACATTTTCTTATAACATGATTATGTGGAGCTTTAAAAGAGTGAAAATTGGCAGGGGAAAATTAATATATGGGCCAGTTACCTGAGAAATGTTCTGTACAAAAAGGAAGGGAAAAAGGCACACCAGACTTCTCCAAATTTGAAACTAGTAATCACAAAGAAAGTGAAGTAATGTTGTTATTCGTTTATGATATATGAGTTTGTGGTCATAGTTTGTGTATTTTCATATGCTGCTACTTTTATATGTCAGTGGATGAAAAGTTTAGTGATTTTAATTTCGCCATCACCACTTGTTGACTCTTTCTGACCCCAATTATATAAGTATTTCTCTGAGGGTCATCACTTCTGTAATCCATGTGGTCATTATTTTTTAATAGCATGGGAGACTTACATTTACAGATAAGATAGGAAAAGGTTTGAATATTTGAGTAACTTCTAAATATTTAAGGTGTTCTTTGTATGTTGGAAAGAATTTTGTCTGTGCCTTATACATTTTTAAGACCTGATGATCTTTTCCCATTAGTCACTTATAGTATTTAAGTTATCAGACTTCATCCTGTAATTTAATAACTATTTTTTACAGTTTACATTATCAGAGAGACTTTATTCAACATTTTTTAAATGTATATATCCTGTGGCCTCTTATGATTGGGAAGCAGTGACTGGTGCAGACTGTGCAGATGTTTTTGTTTGGGAATAACCTCATTATGAACTTAACAGTGTAGTATTCTACAGAATTTGCTGTGTTCTGACATCAGAGTGATACATTCTGTTGTAGCAAATGGGAATCTAGTACATGTTTGATCTCCTTTGTGGTGTTTGATATTGTTTATATGGTCTGTTTTCTTTACATTGCCTCAAAATATTTTGGTTCTGCTGATTATTGTTTCTCTTCAGAGTTCCCTCTCTTCAATTTTATTTTGTGTTTTAACCATTATTTTATCTCTCCATTGTATTTCAATTCAAAATAATTCTCTTCCCACACTTGTAAATAATCTTCAGTAAAGGAAGAGTAACCATGGTGAGCAAGGTTCGTATTGTAATTGATATATGATCATAAATGATAAGGTTTTGTCTAAAATTAAACGTGTGTTGGAAGTGGTTTGTTGATTCAGTTTTACAACACTGGTTTTTCTGTTTCTGATTGAGTAGGGCGAATAAAAAAGAATGTGTAATATTAAATGGCAGTGTTTTTCCTGCATGTAGGCAACTCTTTGAGGATTTAAATATGCTTCCAGTGGTTTATATGTATATAAGTGAAAATAAATATAGAGAAGTTGGAATATGACACAGAAAGTCATAACTACGACACACACCAAAGGTTGATCTCCATGTTCAGTTTTACACAACCAGTGTTTTAAGAAATGGGTAGTGAACACAAGAAATCAGTTATTCTGTAGTTGCTGAATGATCTGAAATCGGAAAAAAAATGTTTAAGATGGAGCTGTGATCTTCTGTTGCAACATACATTCTGTTCTGTAGATAAATAAGAGATGGGCGGGGAATGTAGCACACATGGATGGGGCAAGAGGTGTGCACCGGGTATTGGTTGGGAAGCCTGAGGGGAAGAGACTGCTGGGGAGACCTAGATGTAGATGGGAGGATAATGTCAGGCGGGATCTATTGGAGATAGGAGTTGAAGGAGACTGAATTTTGTTGGCCCAGGACAGGGTCCGGTGGAGGGCTTTGGTTAATTTGGTGATGAACCTTTGGGTTCGGTAAGCCATCTAGTTACTTAGATGAATATATGTGTTATTAATTGATAGAATATGATGTTTCTATGAAAAGATGACTTGTTTTGCAAATTTTAATGTAAGTAAATTTATTGCCATGTGTCATACTGATACGGCTGAGATGGATAAGTAAACGTATAGAAGTGATCATGGCTAATGAAATTTAATATGGAGTTATTACTCTGTCATATGTTTGTTGCATTGAATGGTCTCTTTTGTTCATGAAGCTTTGGGTTAGCTCAGTCATTACAGTGAGTGACTATGGACTGGATGATTGGGGTTCATTCCCTGATGGGCTGAAGATTTTTTGTCTAGTCTCTGTGTCCAGACCGGCTCTGGGGCCAACCCAGCCTTCTATCCAATGGGTACCAGGATCCTTTTCTAAGTGTAAAGTGTAGCTGGGGTGTAATGCTGACCACTCACCCCTTTCTAGGGCCAAGGTTAAAAGTAGAGCTATAACCGCTTTACTTTTACTTAACATTTGTTCATAAATAATGAATTTTGAACTGATTATTTTCTTACAGCTTATATCTGGTTTATTTTTGTGTCAAATATTTTGTTTTAAAATAAGACATATCTAATGCTAAAATTGTATAATTTTATTGTGGCATTTTTTATCATATCTAGTAGCTAAAGATTTGGTTGCCCCAATTATGTGTCAGGGAAACTGGAAATTTCATATTATTCATTTGTGACTTGGGATGCAATTTACAGTGTGTTTTGCAAGTGGGTATATTGTAACTTATAATGTAGATGCTTCCTTTCACTTACAATTCATCATTCATATTCAGTTACAGGATTCTGTGACAAATTTAAACAGGAGAGGAGGGGTACTAACAGAAGAATACTGAATATTTCTTGAACACTGTGAATTTCTTTTTTGAGAAAATGGTAATAGGTTCCCTAATGGATAAAGTATACACTGCACTGACTTTTGCTGTAGTAAATGGTTCTACCAAACATAGCATTTCACTTGCCAGATGCTTCCCTTTCTCTGAATAACAAGACAGGGTTGTAAAAAAATAGGTTGCAAAGAAGGAAAACCTCAATGACTTTGCTTCAGAAACTATTGAATTGCGTTCTTCTGTTATTGTTTGAAACTGATGATTGAAGGATGTAGTTGGAAATAGAGTGGCATAAGGAGGAAACTTGTTCACATAAGCAAATACTGTTAATGAGAATGATTATGTAATGTAGTGTATTGCATAATATGTGTAGGCCATGTGGTTTGTATCTATAGTTTCATCATTTATTTATTTCATTTGTTGGAACTACATAAACTGTAAAGTAGTTGCACCAAGTTTAGCATGTGGAAAATAACAAACATTGTATTCACCCATTAACAAAACTAATTTCTCCTAGTGTATGGTATGAGTCCTTTAATGGAAGGATTATTACAGTTTTCTTTATTTGTGTTTCGATGGAGGTAGGAAATTATTGGATGTTGGCAAAATTATTTTGTACCCTGCAACTAATATTTGTTGAAGTATGTAATTAATAAATTCCACATGTTTTGAGAGTCTGTCACTAAATAGCCTATTCTCCCTTATTGAGTTTTAACTGAGTATTAAAAAAAGTTGTTTAGGTTGTACACTGAACATGGCATTTCAACTAATGGTATATTGGTGTAATGTAAGTTAATATTTTGTTGTCTGCTACAACATATTATATAATAAAGTTAACTAAATGTAAAATGCAACAATTATTCTTGTACATAATAGTGTTTTATGGAAAAATGACATACTTTGTTGATGAAGTGTAATGCAGGGATATGTGTTGTGACTGTGACCATGACAGTGAAAGGAAAGTTCAAGCGTTTTTAAACTCGAGTTGAAAAATCCATCAAAAGTGATGACTTGGATGAATTCAATTCAGAGAACCCTCGCAAGGTGTGTCTGATGATTTAACCTCGACTAATTTTAAAAACATATTTTTAACATAATAGCGTCAAAATTTAGAACTCAGTACTCCATGCTTATGCTGCCACCTCTTTTAACATTTCATGTATTCTTATGTGATGTAAAGTGAAGGAAACAGGAAAAGTTTGAGCACTTCAGAATAAGGGCCTGTGGACATGCAGTTGTGAAACCTTGTTAACATTGCAACATGATGAACAGAGAGATCTGACTCACAGTTTGATTACTTGTTTTATGTGCTGTATGGTTAAACATTTTCTGTTTTGCTGTACTGAATATTAGGCGTATACTATTTTGCAAGTTCTTGCTGTTTTCTTTTTTGATTAATTACTGACTCATTTTGTTTCTTTGTTTTAGGTCATAACACCGGCAACAGAAATCTGCATATTGTTAAAGTACCTCATGCGAGTTACAAAAACTATATTTTTTAAAGTCAAGTTATTGGCTTCAATAGGATTTCTCACATACTATTTAAAATACCGCCATGGAAAAAGAGAAGAATGAAACTGAACCAGAAATAGATGAAACAGTTGACATTGGACCTGGAATGAAAGAAGGTGATGTTGATAACGCTAATCTTGAGTCTTTCAAATTAGATGCAACTGTAGAAGATGTAATGGACAAAAGTGAGGAGATAAAGGAAGTGAATAATGCTGAGAAGCTGTTGCCAGCAGCTTCAGAGGAAGAGGTTATGGATGAGAGTGTTAATAGCACAGATGAGGTTAAGGAGGATCCAACTGTTGAATTTCATGAAGTTGACTCTGATGTGGATGTTCAAGAAGAAAAAAAAGATTCAGAAGTTCAGTCCACAAAGAAAATGTCAGTGGATTCCTGTAAATCAAGACCAGACAGTGGGGAAGTTAAAAATGGGTAAGACCAATAGCACAATGCTATCTTTTCATATTTGCATGCTCACACATGTGATGGGATATAACCATTTAGCTGTTCAAGGTTTTGAGGTATGTAGATTGGTGGACTCTGATTTATGCTTTATTTACATCTTTTGGACAAAAATTAATACCATCCAGAACAGTTGTTCATGAACATTATTTCATGTGTAATATATTTATATATAAATCTTGGTTAGTTTGATATGTGGTTAACTGGTTATGGTTATTTATTGTATATCCAGTTTGTGATGTTATTTTAAAAACAATATTTTATGCATGCAATGTAATTTTATATATATATATATATATATATATATACACACACACACACACACACACACACACACACATACATATTGATTAGTTCAGTTTTTTGTATTGGTTCGTTCTGTATATCCTCTGCTTACAGTTTGTAATATTACGAGTTGTTTTCAAATTAGTGGTGCACTAATGGCACTAAACTGTTCTGTATAGTTAATGGTGCATAACATGATTATTGTAGTTGGCAACAGATTGTGGCCATTGCCTTTTTGTAACAAAGGAAGTCAGACCTACTTGTATGAGTTCATTTTAGCAGCAGGCCAAGCTCCCCACACACACACACACACACACACAGAGGCAAATAGGACAAGTTTATAATTCAAGGTCAAGCAATCCCCAGCAGGCATCTGGCAACATTGTAAAACCAGCTGCATGTATATGACTTGTGCCACATCAGTTTCCAAACCTCTTGTACTGTAAATATGTTTTGATGGAAAGTACTTGCATTAATAGTGGTGGACTCAGTCAGTACTGATGAAGGGGCTGCAGAAAGTTACAGTTAGTGTGGACTGTTTAAGGACCCAATTGCCTAGGGAGGAGAAGGTTAATGTTGCTTGTCTTGTTGCATATATTAGAGGGTGACAAAACTTCAGTAAATCTATTATATTTCCGGCCTTAAGTCTGCAATTTGTTAGTACTGAAGTATTTGTATATATATTCAGAATTGATAACTCACTGATTTTCAGTTATCCTGATCTTTTATAAGAATGTAATCTTTCATATATCATACCGTACCTTCTTCAGATCACCAGTAATAATGAATGTAATGTTGTTTCGTAAGTGGTTTTCAGCACAGTTCACCAACAAGGAACATGTGAATTATTGGGATGATTTTATATAGTGCCTTTAATAAAAAGCTTGTTCATAATTGTTTCACCATTTGGAAACAAAGTTATATCTATTGTATTGAACTGTTTTAGGGCGGGATGCTATTGTACAGTATTTTGTGAGCATAGTCTTCTAAAAAGATGAATTATAAATATGCCATTACAGATATTCGTTACTCTTTATAACTGCACAAATAATGAAGTTCATATGGCATGGAAATTTTCTTTTGTGCCTTGTTTTGTGTATGTGTCCAGGTTGGATGGTCATGTTATCCTGCAGTTTGGTAGATTTGAATTACATAATCAGTGTGTATTTTTGCTAATATTAAAAACAACAGCAACAATACAATGATAATAATGTTTCAATAATTGTAATAAACTGTCCTTGGTATTTTGTCCCTTTCAGAACCTGGGACAGACAAATCTTAATCATGTCATATGTTAATGATGTTATTGATTATTACCAATACAGCAGTGTTTATTCTATGATTGTATTCGTGGTAAACAACATGGTAACATAACATAATAAAGAGTAATGAGTAACTGCAGCATTCACATAACTTTAGTTGTAAATAATTTTTTGTGTCTTTTCTCCCACCACCTGTTTCCTTCAAGATGGCTGTCTTCAGGCTTGTAGTGCCATGTAATCTGATCGAAGTTTACTGACATTTCAGAGGTTTTTGCCTCCTTCTCATCAGGGCAATTAGTCATGTCAGTAAACGTGTACCATACTACATGATGCTGCAACCCTGCTGCGATCCTTGTTTTCTTGTTTCCTTATCACAAAAGACAGTTGTGGCAAGCAAGTCAATAAAAAGAAGAATTCTATTGCTAATGAAATTGTGTCCACATTATTTATAAAATGCGTTTGTGAGACCAGTTAACAGCTAGGAGGGAGTGGTAGAAAATCTGAGGAAATATATGTTTGTGCATTCTGTTGTAGTACTTTTACATTTACAGCATACACATGGAATGCACAACTATATGATTATTAACAAATCAAAGCACAACCTTTTGCAGCCGAAACATCCATAATACAGAGATTTCTACCTATGATCTAGTGTTTTCACATCATTGTAGATTTTGTAAATAATATTATTTATCAACATTCCATGGAACATTTAACATCATTAAATATAGATTTTATGACAGTTCAATTCAGTGAGTTGCGACAAATAATTGGGGTATAAATTATTATTCATAATGTGTAAGTTGATAAATATTATAATCAGCTGTATGTTTTGAATAGTGTATAAAGGAAGTCTGAAGAAACCAAAATTTATTGAAACATATAACTTGTTCATTGTTGCCAACAAATAATGTAAAATTATTTTTTTATTTGTTAATTATATAGAATGTTACAGATGTGTTTATTCTATAAGTGCATTTTAGAAAATGTTATGCAAAATGTTTGCATATTTAGTTAATTATTTAGTATATTGATAATAATCTATGATTTGTAAATATCAAATTTGTAAAGGTCAGGAGGAAGCCTTATGGGAAGTATGAAATTTATATTTGATGAGAAGATTTTATATAGTGCGGTAAAGATATTCCCGGACCTGGTTTAGACACAGCTACTTGTTTGCTGCCCACCATTCTGAATGCTTAGGGCCAAGGAGGGTGCTTTGATAGTGGCCATGTCTAGATCAAATTTGGGATTTCTTTGACTGTATGACCATAACCATAATATCTGTGTCTAATTCATTTTGTTGAACTGTTGCATATTAATATGAATTGCTGGTAAAATTCTTGTCATGTTAATAATAATTGTACCTTTAATTTTGTCTGACAGTGGGTTTACATTATTTCAGAGACACTTCTGAGGTTAATAATAAAAAGGATAAGGAACTGCCCGTAGAGGATAAAGTTCCTGTGGGCCAAAGCTCACAACATTCTCAAGCTGTGAATTCAGTCACTGGAAGTTATAACAGCAATACCAATACACTATCAACTGTTTTCAATACGCGATCAACTCGTTCACAAAATCCAGAGTTTGTAGCTCGACATCGACATTTCTTGCACAAAGTTCACCTTGCTTCAAATAATGTAATGGATGAGGAGTTGCTCACAGATGATGAAAGTACGACATCCAAAACAACTTCCAAATCTAGTGACAGTGTTCAGACAGAGGATAATTCTAGTGTAGTTGTGGACAGTGTGGCTGTGAGGAGGAAACGTGAGCGTAGTGCAAGCAATGGGACATTGTCACCTAGGATTCCATCTCCCAGTGTTACTGTTATGATTGGTGGAAGTGTTAGTGGTAACAATAGTGGCAGCAGTTCACCAGCTGGAAGTCAGATGCAGTCTGTGGCAAAGAGGAGGAGGAGTGTGAGAACAGATTCTACTGGAACTCAGGTAAGTCCAGTTTTGTGTTCTTTCATATTTTTTTATTTCAAGAGAATTTTTTGAATTTAAGATTGGAAGTGTCTGTAATCTTTTAAATGCAATTTTGTTGGTGCTTATCCTGACATTTAACATAGTTTCTAGAGTTCCTGTTTTTGAGTTTATTGGTCCCATAAAATAAGTGTTCCCAAGTCTGAGTATCATGACATAGAACATTTTATATTTTTAACCTTGGCAATAGGTTCAGTTCAGTGGTCAATTTTGCACTTCACATGCCTTTGTCCATAGGGAATAGTGCATGAAAACTGGTGAGTAGGAGACTAGTCATTCAGTTTGTATTACGTCCTTTACTACTCTAGTTTAAATGGATTTTGTTTGAATATTGTCATCTATCTTGTTGCATGCAATTTAAAGGTTAGTCTCACCTCTTACATTTGTTAAGGCCTAAGATGGTAAAGATGTGAGATTTAGTGGGTGCCCAGGCAGTCAGTGTGATTGAGGGTTGGTATGTTGAATTATTAAGGTGTTCTTCACATTCTATCATAAGTGAAGAACTCTCCAAGCCCATTTATGTCTGTCTGTCAGTTGTGTTTTTCCTATGGGGCAACATGACCAGGGATTATTGTGCAATAATGGGATTGCAGGCCCCATTGTTGGAACACATTGTGCAATAATGGGAACAGATTATCATCAGAAGAAATTGTTGCACAATGGCCTTGGATTACCTAATCCCAAGAATTACCTAATGCTCAGCAGTGGCATAGTATAACAACAGTCTACATGGTGCAGCATGAAGAATGCCTTTAGAATGTCAGGGTGCTTCAGAGAGTTTTCCTTTCCAATCTTCTTCTTGTTGTGTTTGTTTTTAACCAAATACAAAATATTAAAATACCAAAGTATGTGATATTCCATATCATGTATCCAGACATTAATTTTGGCTTTAAAGTAAGTGACTAGTTTCTTTGTAATATTTTCAGATTAGTGGATTGGTATAATTAGACCAGGTGTTTAAGGTTTGATATTCTCGCATAGTTTCAAAATTGATGTGTTTCATGAACAGTTGGATGAAAGGTCAGACATTGCTGTGAAGAGAGTCTGGTAATTTACTGAGCTTGTTTCACTAATTGACCTATCAACTATGTTGACAAAGCAAATTAGTTAAGTCAGCTAAAAGAAGTTTCAAAGGGTTTCCAAAGTTATAACCATGCAAGGAAGATTCTGAGCCATCATCTCTGGAACTAATAATCATTGCTGAAAGTTTAATGGGCTGCAATTTAAAGAAAAACCTTGATTCCCATTATTATATACTTTAAGTTTTGTAAACAGAACACCCCCTTGTTTAACCCATTGTTAATTTTTAAAGGCAACAGAAGAATGTTACCTGTACAAACTCCACTAGTCGTGCATACAGCGTCATTAAATAACTGACAAATCAAACAAGCCAGCTGAGATATGCTGCAATGTTGGGTTGTTTATCATTATTGCAAGGCATTTACAGTGGGGGAGCTGTGAGAACTTGTATTGCACTGCACTTGGGGGTCTGTTATCTTATGTACCACAGAGCAACATGTGACTTGACTAATTGGTATACAAGTAAAGAGGACTTAGTATGTGTATGTTATTATAAGTGATACAGGCTACTGGCTAGTATGTCAGTAAATGGCCTTGAAATCTTGGCTTGCATGACTTGTGAAAACTGAATGGGTGTCTGTCTATAAATCTTTTAAATGTAAATGAAGATACTAGTAATATATTCGTACATAAAACTTAAGGTGATTATCTTTTTATGTTTATTTGTGAATTGCCTGTCCTTTTACTTTGATGCAGTTCTTAAATTCATTGATGTAACAAGGAATGTCTGCCACAATTAGTTACTAATGGTTTGACTGTGTTTATTTCATTGACATTTAGTAGCTGACACAGGTAATTCTTCTACCTGTTCAAAGTAGTGTGGGTATCTGCAGTCAGATTATCGTTCTTATTATTTATTATATTGTTGCTTGTAGGGTAGTAATCCTTTAACTTATTTCTTCCTCTCTCTAGGTCTGTGAAGTTCATTGTGTCTTTCAGGTATTTCGTTTTGTTATTGAAGTTCCCACATATTTTACTTTTTACTTTATTGGGTTTTCTGTATGCTTTAGTACAGAGGTTGGTAACTATTTTATTACTGCTTGCCATATTGGCTATTCATATCTTTGTTGAGGCACACAGAAAGAAATAGAAATGACATGGATAGTAAGAGACACTGTATTTCTTTAATTCAAAGAGTAAAATAACTGGTATTCACTTGAAATAGATAATAGCTGTATTTTTCCGCATGACTGAGTTAATAATTTTTAGGAAAGAAAACATACTTGACTTCATGAAGTAAAGTTCAGAATAGTGTGTAAAATGCATTTGTTAAAGAAACATTTTATGCTTATAAATGCTTGTTTTTGTTATTATTTGAACATTAAATCACATTATTAATATTATTATTTCAAATATAAGTGCTTGCAGATGCTGTCATACCAACTGTGAATTTTCTGATTTTGGAAAGGAGGGGGAAAAGGGAGTAAAATATACATAGATTTGATGGTTCAGAAAATTTTTCAAAGAACCATGTCTATAATTTAGTTACGTCTATCTGAAGTTTGACATCAATGTTTTCTCTGAAAGGGGTTTGAAAGGGAATAATTTTTCTGGAATGAGAGTGAAAACGATTGAATTTTGATGAGAATTCATTTTGAAGCATTTGAATTGTTTCTGAATATTTTTTCTTTGGCCATGGAAGCATTTTTTCTCCATATGTTTCAGAAAATCTTTTACAGGAAGAGAAATGGGCCAAGTTTTGCTCTTCAACATGCTTGTTAATTAATTTTCATTGAAAATTTTCTGTATCTGAAAATACATTAGGGATAAGTTTTCCCTTCCCCTGAAGTTTCATATTAAGCCTCTTCAGGAGGGATTTTGCTATTACCAGAAGTGCCAGATAAAGAATTAATTTTGCTTCTGTTAGTTTTGGTACTGATTTGCTCTTTTTATTTATGAATGTCTTGGTTTTTTGCTCTTGAATTAAAGAATCTTCTTAACACATTGGTTCTGCTAAGACACCTTACTCCAATGTAATAGAGTATGTCACTAAATTCTGCCCTTATTTCTTATAAAAAGTGTTTGAATTGACAATTCAAACCATGTTTTTGTGTGAAGTTGATTGTAGAATTTTTGAACTCCTGTATGCACTCTACCTTAGGATGTCAGAGGATCTGCAGATGAGTGATACAATGAAACATTATTAGAGGTACCAAATTTTCTTGCATCACTTTGCTGATAATGTGACCAACACCAGCTTTATGACCTGTTATTGTACTTTATAAGGTTCTCAATTTTAATCCTCATAAATCTATTGTTTCTTTCACTTTCATGAACTAAGCTTCTTCAGTTGTGATAGTGTTCTGACTTGAATTGGATGCAATTTCTTCACAAAGAGAAAATTTATTGTCTGTGTCTTGGATGTATAACAAGAGGCAAGCAGCATCTGAGACATAATTCCTTTCGTCCAAAGTTAGCTAATAGTAAAGAGATGACTTGCTTTTTCTTTAAAATGTTTATGTGAATTGGTCTCTAAATCTTCTATTTGTTGCATTACTGCATGCGCTGAAGGACTGGTGTCTAGAAATAGCTTAATCTTCCTCAGCAGCTTCTGTGATGTATGATTTGAAAAAATCACCAACCGTGTAAGGTTTTTTCCCTTAACAAAGTGTTTGACCACTTTCTAACTGGCACAAACCCCAGGTATATTTTAATTGCAGTGTCTGAAATACTTTTTTTGCTGACAAAAAATATTTCAGTGAGTTGATTTTACAACTTCTTGGTTTGCCAATAAAACAGTTGTACTGACCTTTGTGTTTTGTTTCATATTTACATTTAAAATTTTGCACCTTGAGAACTGAAAAGCTTTCTTTGAAAATAAGACATATTGGCTTACTATTGAAATATGTGGAAAAGTTGCTGTATGTTCACTGTTGTTTAAATATTTGACCTTCATCTGTAACTTTCCTCAGTTTTACAGTAACCATTTAATTATAGGTAGTAATCAATTCATTTAAATACCCCAAATGAATTAAAACTTGTTTCAGGTTTCTGACCACTGCGCTAATCTGTGATTTTATGATTGCCTTCTCTTAAATTCAGACTGTATGCTTATGTCTTTACATTACTACATTGTGATCTGTTGCTGTGTTTGCATGGACATTACTTATGGTAAACTTCTGTTGAAGGTAGGAGCATTCAGAATCCAAGGTGCAGAGATTGTATGTGGAAACTGTTGTCTTCTAATATGGGTTACACTTTTCCAATCTTTCTGAATTTTGTCTTCTGCTTTAATTTCTCAAGATTCACTTTCATATAACAAAGTTAATAGTTTATAAAATTTTAGTTGTGTTTAGTCTGTAAGGTCCTTAAGCTACCACATATTTTATCATACTTTTTATTACTTGAGTCCTAGTCTAGCGTATGTTATCTCACTTCTAGATAATTGATATGAGATACCTGCTATAATGTATACTATCAATAGATATTTTAGTTTCAGCTAGAAACTTTTAAAGCCATGACTTTCATTTTTAAAATTGGAATTTTCAAAGGATGTGTTTTGCCAATGTACATTTTATTATAATATCTTTAGGGCACAATATATGGGCTCTAAACTTTTTATATGTGCTGTCAGTGAATGTTGGTGTCCACTGTAGCTATTGTGGATTAGTATGAGGTTTGGCTTTGCATGCTAGGGGAATCATGCTCAATGAAAGATGTGGTATGGGAACATAACAAACAATAACAAGCAAGGTTGCCACAACTTGGCAGAACATAGCTTTCTCTGGCATGTCATTTATCCCCACTGTCCAGTATGTTTTTATGAAAGTGACTACTTACATTTCATATATTGTGCAGCATGAGCATTGAAATTTTAATCAATTGATATGTGGCCCACTCATAAAGGAAATATATTAAGAAAGTGTGTTTCATACTACAAG